GCTGTCGCGCCTCCGCGTGTCGCCTTTCAGCTTCTTCGTCTGCGCGATCTTGCTCCAAGTCCGCGAGTTGTCGCGCCTCCTCGAGCTGTCGCGCCTCCGCGTGTCGCCGTTCAGCTTCTTCGTCTGTGCGATCTTGCTCCAAGTCCGCGAGCTGTCGCGCCTCCTCGAGCTGTCGCGCCTCCGCGTGTCGCCGTTCAGCTTCTTCGTCTGCGCGAATCTGCTCCAAGTCCGCGAGTTGTCGCGCCTCCTCGAGCTGTCGCGCCTCCGCGTGTCGCCGTTCAGCTTCTTCGTCTGTGCGAATCTGCTCCAAGTCCGCGAGCTGTCGCGCCTCCTCGAGCTGTCGCGCCTCCGCGTGTCGCCGTTCAGCTTCTTCGTCTGTGCGAATCTGCTCCAAGTCCGCGAGCTGTCGCGCCTCCTCGAGCTGTCGCGCCTCCGCGTGTCGCCTTTCAGCTTCTTCGTCTGCGCGATCTTGCTCCAAGTCCGCGAGCTGTCGCGCCTCCTCGAGCTGTCGCGCCTCCGCGTGTCGCCGTTCAGCTTCTTCGTCTGCGCGAATCTGCTCCAAGTCCGCGAGTTGTCGCGCCTCCTCGAGCTGTCGCGCCTCCGCGTGTCGCCGTTCAGCTTCTTCGTCTGCGCGATCTTGCTCCAAGTCCGCGAGTTGTCGCGCCTCCTCGAGCTGTCGCGCCTCCGCGTGTCGCCGTTCAGCTTCTTCGTCTGTGCGAATCTGCTCCAAGTCCGCGAGTTGTCGCGCCTCCTCGAGCTGTCGCGCCTCCGCGTGTCGCCTTTCAGCTTCTTCGTCTGCGCGATCTTGCTCCAAGTCCGCGAGCTGTCGCGCCTCCTCGAGCTGTCGCGCCTCCGCGTGTCGCCGTTCAGCTTCTTCGTCTGTGCGAATCTGCTCCAAGTCCGCGAGTTGTCGCGCCTCCTCGAGCTGTCGCGCCTCCGCGTGTCGCCGTTCAGCTTCTTCGTCTGCGCGAATCTGCTCCAAGTCCGCGAGTTGTCGCGCCTCCTCGAGCTGTCGCGCCTCCGCGTGTCGCCGTTCAGCTTCTTCGTCTGTGCGATCTTGCTCCAAGTCCGCGAGCTGTCGCGCCTCCTCGAGCTGTCGCGCCTCCGCGTGTCGCCGTTCAGCTTCTTCGTCTGTGCGAATCTGCTCCAAGTCCGCGAGTTGTCGCGCCTCCTCGAGCTGTCGCGCCTCCGCGTCCTTTCAGCTTCTTCGTCTGCGCGATCTTGCTCCAAGTCCGCGAGTTGTCGCGCCTCCTCGAGCTGTCGCGCCTCCGCGTGTCGCCGTTCAGCTTCTTCGTCTGCGCGATCTTGCTCCAAGTCCGCGAGTTGTCGCGCCTCCTCGAGCTGTCGCGCCTCCGCGTGTCGCCGTTCAGCTTCTTCGTCCGCACGAATCTGCTTCAATTTTGCAAGATGCCTTCCTGAGTCCTTTTTTCCGTCTTTTTTTGGCTTCGATTCGTGTATTCTCGCTTCTGCGGGTTTCTTTTTTACCATATTAAACATTTTGCCTTCGACGACAACAGAGTCACGGTGATCGTTCAATTTAGTTGAATTCTTGGCGGGAGCGCTGTTTTCTTTTTTTTTCTTTGCGGTTTTTGTTTCTCTACCAAAAGATGAATATTCAAAATCTGTTGGTGTTACATTGCTTCTATCAATCTCTTCTTGTGTGCACTGCTTGGAACCTGTCCGTTTCTGGCACACGTTCTTATCGTTATTTAGATCTGAAATTCGTGTCTCACCGCTGACTCCTATGCCGTATCCTTTTGACTTACAATAATGATTCTTTTCTCCAGAAGAATTCCGTTGTTTTGCTATTTTCCGTATCGGTGGTAGTCTTCGTGGTGAAGTGGCGGCGATCGTAGCTTGTCTTCCCGTCGCCGTAAGCCACCCACGTGCATGTACTTGCTGCTCAATTTGATTTAACGCCTCGACCGATTGGTGTTCGCACTTGAGTTTCTTTTGGAGCGAAGCCCGGCGTTGCGAAAGCTCTACTAGCTTGTGCAAATATCGCTTCCTTGAAACGTCAAGTTTTCTGGTATATTCCAGCATTAGCTTCGCTCTCAAGCACCACCATCCTCCATGGCGCGATCATATGCGCAGGTGATATAGCCGCGGGACATAGTAAGGAATGATACAAGATATAAAATGATATAGTTGGATGAGCTGGGTGCGCTAGCTGGGTGTGCCTTCAACGCGGACTCCGCACGCGGACTCCACCCAGCTCGGGGACTAGCCTAGTCTAGGACCCCCAGGAAAAGAATAGGGCCGGCTGGATAGGGGAGGATTTTCCTGGGTGCGCTCCAGGTGCACAATAATAGAGGGAGATGTCAGCGACAGCCGACAGCTCGTACTCGAGTACGAGATATATCTTCTTCATTGGGAACACTGTGAACCTAAAGCCAAACAAGGGAAGTATACCTTGAAGGGCAAATCCCGCTACAGTCAGGAGAACTGATGGAGCAACGTCTCCGGTGCTATTGGCCGCCACAACGCGCCAGGTGGGCTACTACTAATGGGGTTCGCATTCAATTTCCGCTAGAGGTCTTGTATCGACCCAGAGCTTTCATGGAATCTGGCCAGTATTGCTGGGGCAGTTGCTCCGGATATCCCTTCTTTCTATATCAGAGAGACATGATAAAGAGATGCATATACCTGCCAAATTGGCTTACAAATTATTGGCGTTTCAAGCAGGCCGACCTGACTCAAAGCCTGGCGAACTTCAAGATAAGAGCTTGCAAGAATCGTGCCTAATATAGGGCTTCAGTTGCATAGTCAGGCTGTCACGCGGAATATGACGACCGTCTCGCGAGACTAGTAAGATTTTCTCTGGATCGGAGGCCTGTATTAGTAGTTATACGTATTATCGAAGACTATCATTCTACTCCCGAGCAAACATCAAGTTTCACGAGAGATGCGATGACCTGTGCGAGATACAGCATCAGTTCGCTCCGGATGAACCCATTGAGGCTGCACTGAGATCGACATGGCCATAGTTGAGAATGGACAGTCCGGAGCCATCGACTTGATGGAATACATAATCCATGAAGAGCAAAAGCAAATACCTTTCACCCGATTCGGACCATACCGAGCCAGCTTGTTTCTCTGAACCTGCAGATTCAATCGCGACCTTGCGTGAACGCTATAAATGTGCTAGTTACCCTGCATTATTGGACCATACAGTGCTGAGCTAACGTGGAGCATGACTCTGAGCAAGCGACCAGCACCAACTTCTGCGGAGGCTAAACCCTCGTAGCAGTCAACGCACTGGTAAGTAGCATCGAGTTCGTCAAATGCACGACCAGAAAGCATGTCACAAAGTGCGAACACAGTTGGTGGTTTCGTTAGTAGTTCGGAAATCAACGCATATATTTCTCGCGAGTACCTAGAATTATTTCTTCTGTAAATGCGTTGTGCAATGTTCCACCTTGCGGCAACATAACGAAGTCTAGTCGTAGCCGCCTATGCCAGGCACACACGCGTCCCCTTGTAGTATGCATATTGGTAACGCGCCAATTCATTTTGGGGCGTGCACGAGCCGTCAGACAGTGCTCTTGTAGCGAGCGCTAACATGACATGCCCCAAAGCGATCACGTCGTCGATCTCTGCGGCTGTCTTACTTTTGCCTAGCAGCAATTGACGGTGAATTACTATGAGAAGTATGCGACACCCGCGCACGGGTTATTGCGCATATCCGCTTCGAGGACATCGACAACGCCAACGTTACCAAGTCTTATTCGTGTGTTGCCGGTAACAAGTATCCGGGAGAGCCCAAGCGTGCGACATGCCTGGCTCCCAATGGTATCGTTCTAAAAAAGCTTAGGTAGATACTCAGTGAAATACTCCCGTCGTTGCATGTATTACACGCAAAGCAGCCAACAGCTGCAACAGATAGCTCCATAGTGTCGATTCAGGAACCGACGGCATGCCTAAGAGACTCAATATGAACATTTGTGTTCAACCATTTGCGTGGTAAATCTGCAATTCGTACCTGTCGAGTCTGAACATGGTGGGAAGTAGATCTCTAGCAACGACCTTGCACAAGGGCAGTATTCGTGCAGGAAATACGTGGCTCCAGAGTGCACAAATGCACGCTTGAGAGGAATGAGATTTGCGTGTCGCACGGAACGCCAACGCGTTTGTGTGGCAGATGCAGCCTGTGTTTGGTGTCAAGCCACTATAAAAGGAGGCTTAGTTCTATATCTAAATGACCTTTGGTGAAGCCCGAGCTCCATCAACGCGACGCAATGCATATGGTGCGCCAGATCTGCGATCAATCACCTTGTACATTACGCTTGGGTACCCAAATGATCCTGCAATGTTTCGCGTTGTACGTTCATCAAAGTCAAGAGGCCAAGCTGCCCCATATTCAGGTGGGATCTCCAGGTATCGCTCATCATCTGGTTCCAGTTGCCTCAGCATGTCATGTGATTGCGATTCAACGTGGTGACGTAGATTTTCGGGGACTCCGAGGGATGTTGCACGGAATCCGCCCCATCTAATAAAAAACATTACCATGGTTGAGGAAGATGACTGGTACCGTGGAGATGCGGCGCTTGTTAGACTTGAAAATCTAATGAATGTTTGATCCCATGATTCACAAATGATTGACTGCGCAATCGACTCACCCGCATCAAGCTGGGCCTATTGATGCCGGATCGTTCCAATCATGTAAACGTCAGACGCTGCCAAATAGTATCGGGTCAGTACTATTTTATGAACATCTATGTTTTGAATATCTGGATCGACCATGGCCTGTGATCGACGCACGAAGAAACTACAGCCGTAGCGTGTCACTTGGATGAGGTCGTTTTGAATGCCTATTGGACATTGCGCTAGTTGGCTCTTCGCTCCCGTCTCTGATGTGTCACTAGGAAAGAATGATGCGGTTGACGCCCCACCCATGTTGCTAGCGAGTTGGGGCGCGTGATCTGCCTGTGCAATCAGCCTGGGAGTCCAGACTGGGGCAGTCGATTTCATCGCGAAAGGGACTTGGTCTGGGTCCCTTGCTTGTTTCCTGTTTCCGTCCACTTGGTCTTTCGTATCTCCCACTAGCCTGAGCTAACAGGCCTGCTCAGTGCGAAAAACAACCGACGCCTAGGCCGGCCCATACGAAAAAAAGAAAATAATGTTTATTAATTAAATCCGGCCAGCGGCCGGAGGGACGTGTACTACACCTCCTGAAAATTTGCCGTGCGCGCGCGCGCGCGCGGGTCTAGTGCGGGTTGAAAGTCAGCTTTTCGCGAAAAAAGATCCTCACGCCCGAGTGTCTCAAAATGTACGACGCTACCGCACTCACAACGCCAGCCTCGGCGAAAGGACCCCACTTTCGAGCGGTTTACGACCCCTTAACTTCAACTTTTATGTTGAACTTTGCAACTAACCAAGCTGAACTTCAAGATACAAAACCCCAGGCCTTTCGTTTCAAGGGTTTGTTTTTCGCACTGGGCCTGCTAAAGGAAGCAGAGTAAGCTCCTCCCTCAAGGGGGGGGGCTGAGCTCAGTTTCAATTAAAGGTGCCAGAATAAATAACCTCCCCTTTTTAAATATGGAACAAGGGGGGCGGACTGGAGACCACGTCTTCCATGAGACCTGTTGCCTCCTCCCTATCCGGCCGAATATACAATAACCAGCAATCGGACAGCCATTACCTTGTCTAACTAGAACTGCTTAGGCATTCGAAGTTGGAGCAGGGTAAAATGGCATTGGCTATGCTGTGCGCCATCCAAGCGCGGTCCGTCGGCCTTCATTCTGGCATCTTTAATTGAACTGAGCTCAGCCCCCCTTCGTGGGGGGAGTTTACCTTGCCTCCTTTAGCTTCAGGCTAGTGGGAGATACGAAAGGCAAAGTGGACGGAAATCCATAATATATTATCCCCGACGACGAGAATTGCTTGAGCCATGAAGTTGGAATTCAATGCACTCTGGATTGCGATCACCGGGAAATTAAAGTTATGCTCGGGCTCCGGCTGCTACGAACCATGGGCTAAGACTTTGTTCGAAACACTTCTCCTGAGCACGAACATGCTACCAAGGAATCAATCAGATTTCTCAGAATTGATCGTACAAGTCTACGCGTGGCACCAACAAGCCCTCCACTACAGGACTCCGCCGAATGCAGAGATACCAGTCCATATGCTTGATCTGTTTGTGAAAGTACTCAACGCAGGCAATAGTGTGCCTGAAGTTGGATTTCAACGCATGCATTCTACTACCGAGCATCCGTTCTCGGGTGGGACGGCGAGCAGAACTGATGCTATGCTGCTCCCTCGGCGTCATTACTTGAATCTTTGCCACATATCAGCGCGAACTCACGCCGCCCATATAGCAGCGGAATATTTATTTGGGGATGATGTTTGCCTTACTTTATGTGGCATCGAAAATTCCATGATCTCGAAAGCCACTGCGCGACAATATCGCGTGGGGCCAAGATATGCTTGGGCCCTCTTTGGTGCGGCAGCCGTTGATGGAGCCAGGCATATTTGGCTACGCCAGTTAGTAGACACCCCACTTGTTGCCATTAGATTCTCAGGACTTCGTGCAACGATTAAAGCGCCCCAGGAGGAAATTCTGAAAGCGATTGCGAATGCAGACAGCTCAGACCTCGTGACACTTGAGCATGGCACACGGCTCTCGCGACGAGCTCTTCGTCGTCTTGAATCATTCTTTGAGGCCGTTGAGTCGCGGCCATTTGTTGCGATAAATACGTTGGAAGAAGCCAGCTTCAAAGAGTTTTTTTGTGGAGTGGCCAGTCTACCATCCTGTTTTTTTGTTGCCTGTATGCTTCCCTTTGCTGCAATTTTTGAGTGCTGGCTTGTTACTGGCCGATTGTGCTCTGGTCTACTCTTTAGTCCTGATGTTGATTTGCGCCCGAATCCAACCGCTTTCATCACAGATAAGCGTGATGCGAAAAACGTTGAGTCTTTGTTCAACAGCGCTCCAAGCTGCCGGATGGGCATGCCTAACTGCCTTGTCCCGCCTGAATTTGCGAAACAAACGTTCAGCAGCACCGTCCAGTTTCTTGAATACATTGGAGTCTCAAGCTCGCAACTTGCACGAGGCGTTGCTGGCCTCCCATTTCAACTTTCACGCAGGTGGGCTCGATCACCAGATCCCCCCCCGGGGGGGTTGTCGTCTAAGGACTTCAATTCCGATCAACAGGGGTATAAAAGTCTCGATGCATCACTACCAACCTATACACCAGCGCAACATCGTGGGACAATATATCTCGCACCAGCGAATAGTTGTAGTGTGCGACCCCAAATGTCCGGGGCCACAGCAGTTCTCAAGGCCAAGAACAATTTGCTTCTTGATGCTGCTGCCAGGCACAAACATGCGGCTCAATGGCGATCAAATCGCATTGGAGTGCTCAATTCAAGTCGAATGCGCCTTCGGGAGCTTTTCGAGAAAGATGCTTCGATGTGGGTTGAAGAGTTGCGAGCAATTCGTTACTCGATTAAAGCAGCGTCATCTTCGGAACTTCCGTATAGACAGCCAGAAATCTCAAGCGGCAGCCTCCATTCGAAGGGAATTTTGAAGTTGGCCACATCTAATGATTCGATCTGCGATGCAAGTACTGAAAAACGCAATCTAACCACTGATCACAGTAGCGAGCCAGGAAAATTTACACTTGGTGTGTTTAAAGTGCAGCTGCATCCAATATCCTCGGGTCGTGCATTTTCAATTAAGGTCGGGGTAAACAACGGTTGTGATGCAACTGTCACTTCAACGCGCGTGCAGCCGGTGAGCGATGATTCTAATCGAGCCTTTACGCACAAGCCAATGCGATACTCTCATCCATCAGAACTTATGCTCGATCATAAGTCGGCACTGGTAAATACCGCACAGCTTTTAGATAAGCAGACCAAGTGCACAAAAGGAGCATCAGCATCGGTTTCGCTCGATTCGGAGGGCAGCTTTTTGGAGCAAAGCTTTGTCTTGCGGCAACATGTCCTTGGTGGGGCGTCCTGGCAATCGCAATGTTTCTCGAGCTTGATGGCGAGGAAAGGTCTGGATTCTAGATGCGCCATACAGCGGCAGTTTCTTGAGTCTATGTATCAGGCGGGTTGGACACGAAAGGAGGGGGAACAGCGACTTCGATATCGCGAAACAACCAAAGCCCCTGATGCAAATACCGCTGGTCATCACAAATATATATCCGTCGAGTACAATCCTCCCTGGCGCCTTCAAGTATTCTTTCAAAATGTTCGTGTTTATGCTGACCTTAATGCACGACTCCTGCGGAACAATCATGTAAGAATACTGCTTCGGCGTGACTTTGATGCCGCGAGGCGACCCATCTTAAATTCATTCTCCAGGGAGTCCCCAGGGAGACTTCGAAAGATCGAGTGTTTCAGACACGAGCTCAACTTTGTCGTCGATGCGTTGGCATCCTTTGATGAATCATGCATAGAACAAGCCTGGAGGTGCTTTTTCCACAATCTCGACGTGTCTGACCTTGAAACCATTGCACAATCCCATAATTGCTTTCTAGCGACTTTATCAAGTAGTTGCGGTTTGAATGACCGGGAATTGGAAGCTAAGCTCGGGAATGTTCTTCAATTTGCTTCTGCGGCAAAAGACGTCACCTCTCAACATGTTGATCAGACTAGAATTGTATTTTTAACGCTTCTGCAGGACCTAATTCTCACGCTGGACGGTGCCAAAGACCCCACCGACCTTAAAGTCGACCTGGTCGGAAGACTCGCGAGTGTACTAGAGCGCCGGCCACCGTCTGTTGGCCGAATGACTGTGCGCCCGGGACTACGCGCCGCGATTGGGTGAGTTCGCGCCTGCTATGAGTGTTACTAGTAAGGGGCTAGGTTGCTGTTAGGTTCCGGATGGTGATATTTCACTCGAACAAGGGTAGGAATTGCCCCAAACGGGTTAGAGATTGCATAATTCGTAGCCAGCGCCTCAATAGCATCCCAGCAGGGCAGGTGATGATAAAGCGGCGACTATCGCCCTTAGAACGCGAGTGTGATTAAGCACAATCAAAGTGCGCTTGGCGATAAGCCAGCTACCTAGGGAGCCTACATTCCGCTCCTTGGGCTATACTATGAAGACGATGACGTCCTTGCAGGGCTTGTTCAGCTCGACGATGCTCAAGAGCGTCGGCTCCGGATCGTCGTCGCCGCTCGCGAGCGGTGGATCGGCTGCAGGATCTTACTTGCTTCCTTTAGCTCAGGCTATAGGGAGATACGAAAGGCCAAGTGGACGGAAATATTTTCTATGGGCGCGTCTAGGGATAACGGTTGTTTCGTGCACTGGCAGTGATACTAAGGCGCGGATACTACACAATATTCATAGTCAAGGCGAACGACTTCCCCTGCGAACGACCATGGCGGCCGTAATAGTCCAAATTAAGAGAAACATCAAGGCGAAGAAAGAAGCACAGGAGGCCCGGTTGGCACGGTTTCCTAGGAGTGCGAAACCGAATGAAAATGACATCATTCTCAACAGCGCAGAGTACGACGAAGACATCGACGATGCGATGCATGAGAAGGAACTCACGCCTTGGGTGTTGTTGAATGGCATGATATGGGATTGTCAGCCTTGGGCTAAGCAGGTGTATGCGGACATTCGAGTGCAGATGTTCGTGGCGGTCCTGATCCTAGGGAATTTTGTCATCAACATCATCGAGAAGCAGGTCTGGCCATCAGGCAAAGTCTGTGAATTGAAAAGCTACGAGTGTACCAAAAGCACAAAATGCAATTGTCGAAAGGTAGGGAGGCGATACAGGCGAATCTTCGAAGGGACCGGAGCTTTTTTCAATTATATTTTTACAGCTGAACTTGCCTGGAACATGTATGCACACTGGTTTAGACTTTTTTGGAAGGACGGGTGGAACGTGTTTGACTTTATCACAGTCGCCGTTTCGTGGATCACCGCGGTTGGTGTCGCGTTGCCGGGTCCCCTCGGGATGTTGCGCATGGTTCGAGCACTTCGCGTATTCCGACTTTTCAAACGTGTCAAATCGCTAAGGAAAATTCTTGAGTCTCTCGCACGTGCGGTCCCAGGCGTGATGAATGCGTTTTTGATCATGCTGATCGTAATGTGCATATACTCTATATTAGCTGTCGACTTCTTCAAGAATCTAGGCCGGGATGGAGTCTTTCACTACGAGTCTGGCTTCACGAAGACACGAGGCATAACAGTCGCAATGGAGCGCTGGTTTTTTTATCAGTGTCTGAGCCAGTCTTAGTTTTTGAGCGTTCCACGTATATACGTGTGTACACACGTATTGATTTATATCCAAAAATACAGGCTCAACACATCGGAAAAGATGGACTTCTGGATCGATAATTATGACGGGACAGCTCTTATAGCAGAAGTCCCTTCACCCAGTCGCGCGGAATTCCTTGAGCACCATCATAACGTTGAGAGCAACGCTGGCACCTATTATACTGCACGGGGGAATGAGTGGGGTCACGAGTACTTCGGCACGTTTGGGAAATCGCTCTTTACGCTGTTCCAAGTGGTCACTGGTGATAGCTGGGCTGAGGCCATCGGGCGATCGCTTCTGGAAGGTTGGTTTCCGATGTCCACTGCATTATTTTTTGTTACGTACATCCTTCTTCATGCTGTCGTGCTTATGAATGTCGTTGTTGCTGTCCTCCTTGAAAAAATGGTAACTCCAGAAGATGATGAAGGTGATGACGATGATCTTATTGGTGCCTTGGAAAAGGAGGCCGAGCATGAGCTCGCGAACGCAACCCACGACGGCATGGCAGATAGCCACGGCGTATTAGATTTACATGGCAACCGCCCTGCTCTTAGCTATACTGAACCAGTCTCACCCCCCTCTGCAACCATAAAATCGTGTCGCTCTGCGTATGAAGAAGACAGAAGGGTAGAGCCTCGCAGTATTGATCTGCTTCGGGGGGGCATGCGCCAGCAGATCGAGGCGTTGCACTTGGAATGTAGCGGCATCGAGCGCAGCATTGGGGACATGCAAGACGGCCAGCGGCTACTTATCAGGGCCCTCGCGCAGTGCAGTGCCGTGCGCCGGTAGTGTGCCAGACCGCAGGCAGTGCCACCATAGATTTTTTTGTTTCAAGGTTTGTTGTTTTTCTGCGGCTTTGAATCTAGAGGCAGCGAGGAGCGCCGGACCCCTTGCGGCCCTGGCCGGGGTCGGGTCCGGCGTCGGCGAATCTTGACGTCCTCGCGGCCGCGGACGGCCACGACGACAGCCGCGGCGCGCCGCCGACGGCCAGCTCTAAGAAAGCGGCTGCGCATACATATATCTTGGTTGCGCAAGCGGCGCAACGAGTCGGGCGCCGCGCGGCTGACTGCGAATGACATCTGGGCCGAGGCGTGCATGAGCGCGTTTCGAAACGCGCCCCACGGGAGTGTCGGGCCCAGTCGGTTCGATTGGCCAATTGGCTCGTTCCCGGCGACCGCATCAGCGGGATGCGCCGTGCCGCCTGGTCGCTCGACGACCGCAGGGGCGCGCACCATCTACGACACATCGACGCGCCTTATGCACATGTGCGTCAACCAAGACAGTGCGGATTCTCTACTGGAAAGTGGCATCTAGGAGCGCGAATTAAAACGTACCACTTCACGTACCACTCGGGGGTCGACTGCCCCATATTGACTGGAATTCCTAGTCCGTCACCAACGGCTCGCCGAGGTACCCCGCGAGCCCCCCTGAGGTCCCCAGTGTGGGAAACGAATATTCTAAATGAATTGTCCCACGTCCGTTGGACGTCCGTTGGACGTCCGTTGGACGTCCGTTGTGACCCCCGCGCGCGCGGTGGGCGGAGGACCTCTAGAGGACCTCCCGCCGGGCGGCCGCCGATGAACAATTAATAATTCCTATGGCCGCGTCCATCCCTATGGTCGTTTCCCACGCTGTCCCCAGGATAAGCTTGCCCCCTCTCCGTCACCAACCTTCGTATGTAGAGCTGCTTTGGTTTTCGACCCTAGTTAGTTTTCGACCCTAGGGGTCCTGGACTCAAAATGCGGCTATTTGCCGCCCACAGACCCGATTTTGTGGCTGTAAAGGGCCAAAGGACACCCCGCCGAGGCCCTCGAGACGAGGCAGGGCCGTGGTCACGGAAGTGCAACTTAAAATTTGACCTACGTTGATGTCAACTTGAACCTGGGTTGCAGTTCAACATAGCAGCGAACTGCCTTCAGACGGCGGCAAGGGGTGTCCAGTGTGCATCGCCCTTGTGCCTCTTGACTATCCGGCGCCAGAACGCGGCGTTGTGGGGCTTAGGCGAGTCAGAAAGGCCGTTTTGAGGTGGCTGCTCCAGACTTCAGCTCCAGCCACCAGTACGCATGCGTGGTTTTCGGCCAAAGCAGAGGCCGCCGGCGCTGGTACCAGGCCGGGCGCTGCACCCGCCCGGAGCAGCGACGACACGTCCCTCTGGGATACCAGACGGCGAGACCCAAACAAAAACGACCTTGGGCGCCGTTTTGGGCTAGGTCGTAGGAGCACTAGCTACTAGCTTCTAGCTGATACCCGCCCTAGGTTCGGTGCGTGTGGGTGCGCCAAGCCCCGCAGTTTGCAGTTTGCCGGTTCTGGGGGGCTCCGGCAGACACCCGGCGCACAGCCGAGCCAAAAGGCAGCGCGAGAAGAACCGCCAGGCGCGCCCAGGGGCCCGCCCCCAGGTACCCTGCCGGTGCGTTGGTTTTCGACCCTCGTCGCCAAAAATACGAATTTCGACGACGCGAAACTCGTCGTCCCGGCGGCCGATTTGGACAGTTGGATGTTCCAGGCGCGGGACGAAGGTCCGGACGAGGGAACTAAACAGCAAAACCGAAGCAAAATCGGCCTCGATGGCGTCCAGAGGCGTCGGAAAGTCGACCCCCGGCGAGGGTCGAAAACCAAAGCAGCTCTTCATACAATTTACTACAACGCCATGGCGGTTTACGGCCTGAGCGTCGAGTGGTATGACGCACAGCCAATGCTGACGCGAGAATTCGTGATGCGCGTCTACGCAGAGGAGCGCCAAGTGGAAATGTACGACGCGAAGTCGCGCCGCACATTCCTGAAGAAATCACCCCTACCGGCGTCGATTGGGCTCAGTGATCTATTTGTGGGGAACGAAATCGTTCTGCACTCTCGGGCGTTGAAAATTGTGCGTTATGCCGATAGAGCAACAGCCGAGATGCTACGTAAGTCTCAAATGGTATCAACAGCTCTATTATCACCCAATTGTGTCGCGTCGGGGAAGCTTGGTGCGGCAATCTCAGTGTTGGAGGGTGCAGGTCTGACAATTAAGAAGCTTAAGATGGTAGCTTTGAGTAAATCGGAAGCGAAAGAGTGCGCTGCTCTCGTAGAAGAGGGCCCACAAATGAGCAAACTCCTGAGCTCTGAAAAGTCCATTGTAGTAACTGTTGCTGGTTTGCACGCCGTTGAAGCGCTGAGTCAGGCTTGCGAGCAAGTATCCAACTCTCTTAGCGGCTATGGGTCTGCTCGTCTCGCGATCGCTGCACCGAACGCCACTGCAGCGATACATCTTGAAGAATTGGCTTTTGGGACTACTCGTTCTTTGGCATCTTGGCCGACTGCTCGTTACGGCAGTGACTGCACTTGTTGTGTGGTGCGTCCCCACGCCTTGATGAGCAAACAGCTTGGATCCATACTGTCACATATTGAAGCTGCTCAAGCGTATGAGATTTCCGCAATGGCACTTTTCAAACTAGACATCCCCGCTGCAGCTGAATTCCTTGAAGTGTACGAAGGCGTCGTTCCTGAGTTTGAGGCGTCAGTAAAGCAGCTAAGCTCAGGCCCGTGCTGTGCTTTGGAATTGCGAGGTCGCGATAGCGTCGTTAAAAAAATGAGAGAGACTTGCGGCCCATGGGATGTCAATTTTGCAAAAGAGATCCGACCTAATACTATTCGCGCAAAGTTCGGCATCGATGGAGTCAAAAATGCCGTGCACTGCACTGACCTCCCTGATGATGGTGATCCAGAGTCTCGCTACTTCTTTGATATCCTAGTGCCGTGCTGAGCTGATATCCTAGTGCCATGCTGAGCTTCTCTCATGACTTCCTAATGTCTTTCCCCCGCACAACCTAGGCTGGCACGGGTGAACAACCGATGGGAAATCCGACACGTCCTAATTTTGGCCCCTCCCGGTGGGGCGACGCGAGGGCGATGCCCAGGTATATGGACACGATATGGACATAGGCAACCCAGTGGGCTCAAAACTTTTTGTGGCTTGCCCGCCTGGATGCGGGGCTGATGCGGGGCTGATGCGGCCGACCTGAGTAAAGCCCCCAGCCGCAGGCCCCAGTGCCGGGGATGATAAACGGCGACTATCGCACGTGGTCAGAACGCGAGTGTGATTAAGCACAATCAAAGTGCGCTTGGCGATAAGCCAGCTACCTAGGGAGCCTACATTCCGCTCCTTGGGCTATGCTACCCTAACTCGGGACTATGCTATCCTCCCTATGCTGGGACGCTCATATACTGGCCTATGCTGGCTATGCTAAGTTTGCCTTATACTGGCTATGCTCATGCTATACTATGCTGGTGACAGCGCCACGGTAGTCTGTTCCCCTCAGGCTGAAGTCACGGTACAGCGCATCCCCCTTGCATCCACAGATACCCCACTTCCTCCTAACTACCGACACGCCCAACGTGGATTAGCAGGCTGAGCTTTACAGCTGGTAGCGGTGTGGGATCATGGCCCAGATCAGGTGAACCATAGCACCAGCGTTATGAGCTTAGGTTAGGAAGGAGGAGGATACGGGGGATGTGTATCCTAGGGGATGACGCTGGGGGGTTTGGGTCATCTGGGTTCACAGTGCAGTGGATATATGTTGGCATAGTCGCTTACTTGTATCTTTTGTACGAGGGTGCGCGGATACGGTACCCTCTCCTTTCTTTCTCTTGCACACTTTTAGTGACCGGGGAGTCTGGAGCGTGGACTGACAATCCGTCAGTCGGAAACCGCAGCTTCGTCAGTGCAAAGATATTGAAGATTTGCGATGAGGATTAGTCGATTGGGCGAGTCTGCAGCTAGTACGAGAAGCACTGGGTCGTCTTCGAGAAGAAGCCGCGCGTCTCCGGCGATTAGCTTTTTTTTCCCAGTAAAACCTTTCTGAGCCGGTTTTCGCGCACCAAAACCCTTCTCCCAAACGGGGTCCGACGCAACGATAAAAGTAACCCGTTTTTAAGTCGCTGGCGCCGATTGTAAGTCGTAGGGTAAGTCGTCGGGCCCCGGGGTAAGTCGTTGGGCTCGCCAAAACGGACGGATGACTGGGCACTCGCCAAAACCCGCGGGCTGCTGATAGTTTTTATTACTGCTTGGCGACGCCACGCGAGCTGAAGCAATGGCGGCGCGGTGCCGGCGATCGCGCCGGCCCCCGACATCCACGGCGCCGACGCCGTCGATTGCCCGGCCGCGCGTGCGCTCCGCGAAGCGGCGCCCCGGGCCCCCCGCGGCCCGAGGTAGGCCGCCGGGTAAGTCGCCGAGTCCGAAAGTAACCCGTCAGGTGAGTCGTTTTGGCCGAATGTAAGTCGTAAGTAACATGTTAGGTAAGCCGCTGCGTCGGACCCCGCTCCCAAGCCCTTCCGCCCGTCGTAAAACCTTTCCCAGAACCCTCCCCGACGTCCGGAAGCCTTTCCAAAACACTACCACCAGCACATCATGATGTGACCGTCACTGGAAACTTTGCATACGGCCTTCGGCCCGGACACCCAACGATGCCGCCGCAGCCCGGGGGGCTTTGGGCGCCCCCGAACCACTTCCCGAGCCCGATGTTTTTCGCGGAGCGCTGCCCGCCTCAAACAGACCACGGACGCTTTCCGCGCACCAACCGGCGCCGATCACGTCACTTGAGCTTAGATTAACACCCCCCCCCGGCGAACCCAGCGTGCCGGCTGATCAGGCTGCCGAGAAAGCAGCCGCTGTACTTCAGTACGCTACGTCGGAGGAGGATGGATGAGGCACCTCGCCCCATTTGCGACCCTTTGCAGCTCGCTGCTTCGAAGGTGCTGAACCAGGACGGCGATGAACAACGATGAACATGATAGAGGCATATGGCCATATCTCGCTACCAGGTTATGAGAAACCTTGCTTGAATCTTGGACTTTAAAGGGATGTAAGGGCTATCGTGCCTGGGTAAGCAGAATTAGTGCAGGGACTTCGACGAACTTGAACAGCAAGTAGCCAGCGATGTGAACGAGGATGAGCACGACAGGGAGGGTGGACAGTGGGAGGATCGGAGCATCAGTATCTTTCAGGCCGACGGCACGAGCAATAACCATGTTGTAAATCTCACTAACACGACCTGGATTGAGGGCCCAGAGGAGACCAAGCATAACAGGACCTTGAGACAGATAGATACAGTAACTCCATTCCCCGATGCGATGAAGTAGATTGGCTCGAAGAAGGCGACAGAAAAAACCAGCGTCGTGAGCAGCGGAGTAGATGAAGCAGGCCGTAGGAAAGGCATATACCTGTGGTTTCTACAAAATCGAAGCTTGTCACATTTCGGGTTTTGGAGACTGATCTACAGACCGCGAGCACTTTCGGGATTGAGGTGCTAGTGGGAAGGAGCACGGTAAGAAGAATTAGAGCCTGTGGGAACTGATGTCATGTGAGCATTGATAGGGACACATTCGAGCCAACTCTGAAGTTGGCCATAGATGCAGCATCTGAAAGCATGGCAATGCGATGCTCATGCAAGTCATCTAAAGAGCTCCTTTGCCAAACTCGTCTACCGCACCAGTGCCCATTTTCGCTGATATCTTGTAAACCTTTTCGGTTGAGGAGAGCCAAGTTAGCGGGCTGTGTGGCAGCAACGCCCAGTAGAATACCTTGGATGAACTCAAAGACGCGCACAGGAGGAAACCTGTTAGGCGGACTTTTACTAATAAAGGCAACCACTTTATCGGTCAGTGCGGCGCTGCATTACGTATAGGCAATGTCCCCCGCAACGGGGGGTGACAGCCCCGTCGACGACTCCAAGGCAAACTGAAGCGAGTACCAGGTAATTACTTGTCCGAGAGTGCAAAGTCCAAGAAGAAGAACAGTCACGTGCCAGCTGATCTGGCGTTGGTCGAAGAACCCTGCGGTTGTGAGTACTACAGACTTGACGCCTTGCACTAAAAATGGGAATGCAAGGTAGAATGCAAGCTCGCAGCTCACAGCCCACGCCGGGTAGTTCCAGAGCCGCCACAGTGGTACAAAGAAGTCCCAGCTTTGCACACCCATTGTTGTGGCAATGCAAGCGACGACACGAACAAGTTCTGTTTCGAATGGGGGTACATCAATCGATTGCCACGCTACCAACAGAGGCGGCAGAGAGCATAGTAACATCAAGACATAGACTGGTCCCAGGCGGGCAAAGCGACGGTGCCAAAAACGATGCTGCCACTTATGATTGGTATAGTCAACAATACGAGTCTCATTTACGATTGTGTTTACAAAGCCACTCAGCTGAAAAAAGAAGGTCACGGCCACGAATCCGTGAGCACACAATCGCCGCGCGAGGAACGAGGTCGGAAAGGCACCGTCTCGAAAGTCACCTGAAAGTTGTTGTACGCACATCTTTCGTTTAGTATCTTACCAAAGAAGTGATAAGTAACAACATAAATAGCAAATAGACCGCGTGCTCCAGTCAGAGCCTCCATACTTGGCACCCGCGTCCGTGGTGGCGGCGTGGACACATCTTTGACCGGCGCATCTTTAATAACGCCTTGCGAAGAAATCAAGGGCGCTCGATCGTCTGATCTCATGACTTAGTAGGTCCTTCCATAAGATTTTGTTCAGATTTAGCGCCGTCTTGATTCCGTACGGCTTTCAGTATGCAGGACAGGCAAGTGATGATGGACGGACCCAAGGCGCTCGCCCGGGCACGAGCGGCGCACATTTTGTCGCGCAAATTTGCCAACCGAGATCGAGTCAAGGCGAAATTACTGGAAGATCAAGAGATTGCGCGTGCAAGAGCGAGGGCGGGTCGGGAGGCGACTCGGCGCCGCTGGAAGCTCAAAACACAGCATTCTCCTTTCCTCGTAGATTTAGTTGCCGAAAACGAACGTCTAGATGAGGAGAACAAAGTGCGTCTTGCCGCGGAGGCACGTCAAGTACTACTCCTCGAGAAACAACGCGTTGCTCTCAAGCAACAAGTGATTGTCAGAGCGCTCCGGGAAGAGTCAGACCTGGACGCACTTCGACGTGAGAAACGTGCCATCGTTGACGAAGAGCGGCGCCTTAAGGCCCTCCTCGACCTGGAGAAGACCCAGACGCGTAGCAAGGTCGATATGCAGGCTGCTGAACGTGCTGAACGCCAGCGCACTGTCGCTAAGAATGACTTGCGTCGCCAGAAGAACGTTGATCGTCTCCAGAAGCAACGTACACTGAACCGAGAGCTTCTGCGGGAGGCCACTGACGTCCCTGATGATTCTGATTGCACTTTCTAGTACTAAGGTACCAAGGTCACATCAGCACCACTCTTCGATCCACTACCGGAAGAAGAATGAAGCATCAAGCTACATAAGTGCGGTGCGACCTGCGTCTGCGGGACC